CAGACTAGATGTTTCTTTTCTCTTTCATTGAAGTCCAGACCTTAAAAGATACGGAGGAAGGGGACTTCTAACCCAAGAGTTCTTTCCTGAGAGTGTGTGGCAAGAGGCTCCTTCACTGAAGAATCTAGGCAACTTCTGCAACAGCGATCCCCAAAAACCACAGGTAAAACTGCATGAGAATGTGTGTAGAGTATCTAGCTTGGGACTGGTAATGACCCCACCTCCTAAAAAGGCAAAGCACAAGTGACCTCCCACAACCTCTCTTGACTGGGGCTTGCATCCTGAGCAAGGGTTAGCTTCCTTCCCAGGACACCTGTTTCCAGGATAGCTCCCACCTCTCCCCAGGGAAGGGCAGTGAAACCACAGGGGCCTTCCCTGGACAGATCCTGCCCATCCTGGGGAAGATGCATGAGATGGCTGCTCCTCGCACACAACAGGAAAAGTTAAGTCATTTCAAAGATGAAGTGAAGAGCCTGTTGTAGGCTGAATGGAGGTCCCCAAAGAAATCCAGGCCCTAATTCCTGGGACTGTGAAAGTTATATGGCAATAGGGATCTGCAGATATGAGTAAACTAAGGCTCCCAGAAGGAGGAGATTATCCTGAACTTTCGAAAACAGCAGAGGAAGACGGAGGCTAGGCGTGGCGGCTCATGCCTGCAATCCCAACCCTTTGAGAAGCTAAAGCAGGAGGATCACTTGAGGCCAAGAATTCAAGATCAGCCTGGGCAACAAAGTGAGAACCCCATCTTTAAAAAAAAAAAAATTAGCTGGGCATGGTGGCACATGCCCAGGGTTCCTCGAGCCAGGAGTTCAAGGCTATAGTGAGCTATGATTGTGCCACTGCACCCCAGCCTGGGCAACAAAGTGAGACCCTGTTTCTAAAAAGAGAAAATAAAGAGGAGGAGGAAGACAGCAATGTGACAATCAAAGCAGGGCACGAGCCAGGAGCCAAGGAATGAGGCCAGCCCCAGAAGCTCTTGGCAGGGGGGACGGTCCTCCTCCAGCCCCCAGAAGCTGACAGCAGGGTGCAGGGCGGGGGCGGGGAACGGTCCTCCTCCAGCCCCCAGAAGCTGATGGCTGGGTGCGGCGGCGGGGGGACGGTCCTCCTCCAGCCCCCAGAAGTTGACCAGGGAGGGCAAACGGATTCTTCTCTAGTGCCTTGGGAGGGAGCATGGCCAACCCAGGACAACACAGTTTCAGCCCCTGAGGCCTGGCCTCCAGAACTGGGGGGAATAAACTTCTGCCCTTTTCAGCCACTAAGTGATTGGTGCTTTGTCACACAGCAATAGGAAACTCACACAACTGGGAAGTGAGCTGTTTTTGGAATTCCACCAAATTCAAATAAAATGTAAAATGCTCTGAGGATTTTGTGTACTTGAAGCCCTCCTTGTGTTAATAAACAACCTAAGGGATCGTTTATTCCTTCCGCCTGTTTTTTTGTTTTTGTTTTTGTTTTCGAGACGGAGGGGTTTTATTTTTTGTTCTTTTGTTTTGTTGAGACAGAGTTTGCTCTTGTTGCCCAGGCTAGAGTGCAATGGCATGATCCTGGCTCACTGCAACCTCCACCTCCCGGGTTCAAGCGACTCTCCTGTCTCAGCCTCCCTAGTAACTGGGATTACAGGCACCCGCCACCAGGCCCAGCTAATTTTGTATTTTTAGTAGAGACGGGGTTTCACCATGTTGGCCAGGCTGGTCTCGAACTCCTGACCTCAGGTAATCCACCTGCCTCAGCCTACCAAAGTGCTGGGATTACAGGCATGAGCCACTGCACCTGGCCCAGCCTTACTATTTTGCTTGGCCCATCTCAAAGATAACGGTCCAAAGACAATGTGATCCGCACACTGCCAGCTGGGCCCTCGGAGCCCACTTCCATCAGCCTGGAGTGCTGACTTCCAGCAGCCATGGCCTGTCCTTCATCTCCTCCACCCCTAGGCCTTCCCACAGCAGCAGCTGGGCTGGCTGGGGCACCAGCTGTCACCTCTGGTCCCTCACCACCTCCAGGACCTCACTGTGTCCCAGCTGTGTCCCGGCTCCCAGAGCCACAGGTCTCCTCAGCCTGGCCACTCCTTCTTCCCTGAGATCCTCATCCTAAACAGGCCAGAAAGGAAGCCAGCCCTCGCCCCTGGATCCCCTCCTCTTCGAAGATCCCATCCAGTGCCTCCTTCCCACCTCCTGACCCTCCCCATGACATGCCCTCAGAACACACTACCCCTGCCCTCTCCTGAGTGCTCCACAGGTCAGCACCACACATTCAGCCCAAGCCCAGGGGCCTTTCCTCTGCCCCTGTCTTTGTCAAGCTCCCTGAGACCTCCTGCCACTGCTGCCCTGCCTCTCCTCCCTCTGCTCCGCCAGTCATACAGCATCTGCATCGTTGCAGTCACCAGGGCTACAAATGTAAGCCTGTCTGAGGGCAGGTTCCAGCCTCAAGAGACCTCAGAGACAACGCTGGACTTGCAGTTTTCAGAAAAACCCCAGACAGGCGTGCATCAAGTGATGCAGCCCAAGGCCCTGCAGGCAGCCCCATCCCCGGCGTGCAGGCTCAGCCAACCCACTGCCCTTGCCCAAGCCCCTGCCCTCAGCCAACACAGGTTCCCCCATCTGTGGAGCACTGAGCTGAAGTGCCACGCAGGGCCTGCACACTGGATATCCATCATCTCAAGTCTCCAAAAGCACTGACCACAGTGGACATTTTTATACCACTTGTTCAGGGGAAGAAACTGCACACTGTGACAATTACTTCCTAAAGCGAAATATAAACTGGTTCTCTCTTACTCAGAATCGCTTTGCCCTCCCCACGTCGCCTTCTCTAGGGGCAGGCCTCAGCCCCTTGGAAGGCCAGCAGGACCCCATCCCTGCCCACAGCCACCTCTCCCACCCTCCCTGGTAGTCTTCTCGCTGTGAATGGTGGGGCCGCTGCCTTGCCTGGGGAGGCCCCCCCAGGGCCCCTTCTGTGCAGGCCTTGCTGGCCATCCTGCAGGTCCCTGTGGCCTCAGAAGGGGCCTCCACAGGACAGCATGGACCACACTGAGGGCTTCAGACAAAGCCACTCTCAGCCCTTGCGCAGACCCAAAGACAGGTGTAATGAGGAAACTCAGGCACAGAGAAGGTGGTCACCTGCCAGGACACATTCCCAGCAAGTGACCACACAGGTGAGAGGCCAAGTGGTCCTCTCTGTCCACACTCCACGGCTCTGGGCCCCTCTCTGTCCACACTCCATGGCTCTGTCTATACTCCACAATCCACATTGCTCTGGGCCCCCTCTCTGTCTACACTCCATGGCTCTGGGCCCCCTCTCTGTCTACAATGCACGACTCTGGGACTCTGTCTACACTCCATGGCTCTGTGCCCTCTCTGTCTACAGTGCACGGCTCTGGGACTCTGTCCACACTCCACAGCTCTGGGCCCCCTCTATGTCTACACTCCATGGCTCTGGGCCCCCTCTGTCTACAGTGCACGGCTCGGGCACTCTGTCCACACCCCACGGCTCTGGGACCCCTCTGTCTACACTCCACAGCTCTGGGCCCCCTCTGTCCACACCCCACGGCTCTGGGACCCCTCTCTCTACAATGCACGACTCTGGGACTCTGTCTACACTCCACGGCTCTGGGCCCCCTCTCTCTACAATGCACGGCTCTGGGACTCTGTCCACACCCCACGGCTCTGGGCCCCCTCTGTCTACAATGCACGGCTCTGGGCCCCCTCTGTCTACAATGCACGGCTCTGGGACTCTGTCCACACTCCACGGCTCTGGGTCCCCTCTGCCTACAATGCACGGCTCTGGGACTCTGTCCACACTCCACGGCTCTGGGCCCTCTCTGTCTACAATGCACGGCTCTGGGACTCTGTCCACACCCCACGGCTCTGGGACTCTGTCCACACCCCACGGCTCTGGGCCCTCTCTCTCTACAATGCACGGCTGTGGGACTCTGTCCACACTCCACGGTTCTGGGACTCTGTCCACACTCCACGGCTCTGGGACCCCTCTGTCCACACCCCACGGTTCTGGGACTCTGTCCACACTCCACGGCTCTGGGCCCCCTCTGTCTACAATGCACGGCTCTGGGACTCTGTCCACACTCCACAGCTCTGGGCCCTCTCTGTCTACAATGCACGGCTCTGGGCCCTCTCTGTCTACAACGCACGGCTCTGGGACTCTGTCTACACTCCACGGCTCTGGGCCCTCTCTCTCTACAATGCACGGCTCTGGGACTCTGTCTACACTCCACGGCTCTGGGCCCCCTCTGTCTACAACGCACGGCTCTGGGACTCTGTCTACACTCCACGGCTCTGGGCCCCTTCTGTCTACAATGCACGGCTCTGGGACTCTGTCTACACTCCACGGCTCTGGGCCTCCTCTCTCTACAATGCACGGCTCTGGGTCCCCTCTCTCTACAATGCACGGCTCTGGGACTCTGTCTACACTCCACGGCTCGGGGCCCCCTCTCTCTACAATGCACGGCTCCGGGACTCTGTCTACACTCCACGGCTCGGGGCCCCCTCTGTCTACACTACACAATCGCGGCACCGCGGCTGGACGAGCCCAGGTCGCTGCAGTGAGTCCGGAGCTGGGTCTCTGGAGCCAGCCTCTGCCCTAACAAAGCCGCCGCTCGTGCAGTCCGACGAGGGAACCTGGACCCGTCAGCGCCGTCCGGGCCGCGTTCCCCGCGCGCCTGGGCGCTCCTCGCCCGCGGGACCCGCTGTCAGGCGCCGCCCCCGCGGGTCCCCCCAGGACCTGGGCGGGCCTCACAGCGCGGGCCCGGGGAGGCCACGCAGGCCTGCGCCCCGCACCCCCCGCCCCCGCCCCCGCCCCCGCCCCGCCCCGCGCTGGGCCCGGGACCAGGAGCCTGAGTCGGGCGGGCGAACAAAAGGCAGGGCGGGCGGGCGGCGATCGTGAGGGGACCGGGGATGGCCGGGCGGCGGAGAGCGCGGGCGCGCGCCCCGGAGGCGAAAGAAAGAGCGGAGGCGGTGTGCCCGTCCCCCGCCCCGGCCCCGCACACCTACCGGGCCGCGCCGCTCGCTCCCGCTCCGGGCGCTCCGGCCCGCGCCACCGCCCGCGCGCGCAACGGTCGCCTCAGCAGCCGCCGCCCCCCGGGGTCGAGACGGGGGCGGGGCCGGGGCCAGATGAGGGGCGGGGCCACATCGGGGCGGGGTCTTAAGGGCGGGGCCGGTGGGGCGGGGCAGGTGGGGGCAGGGCCTGAGAGGGGAGGGGCAGGTGGACTGAGGGCGGGGCCAAGGGACGGGGCGCGGTTCGGCGTGGAGGGGGCGGGGCCTGGGGCGGGACGGGGGCCTGCGGTCAGTACAGCGTGGGAATAGGACTGCCGGGGAGGCGGGGGATGGGAAGAAGCGATGGGCGGGGCCTCCACGGCCGGGGGCGGGACTTCCGTTGCGGGCGCGGCGGCCCTGGTTCGCCCGGGGTGGCCTTGCTCTGGGCCGGCCCGGGCGCTGGGAGGGGTCGCGTTCCTGGGAGCTGGTTTTCTCTGCCTCTGCCCGCCCGTGTGGCCGGAAGGAGCCGCCTCTGCCTGGACTGTCTCTATCCTTCGCCGTCGGTGTCCGAGGAAGGGCCGCGGTGCTCGGGAAACCTCGGTGTGAGGAGTCAGGCCCCGGCGCCCCGGCGTTTCGGCCGGACAGACGCCCGGAGTCTGGCCGCAGCCTCGGGGGCGGCTTAAGTCCCTCAGCGAAGCCACGGGGACAGCCAGGAAAGGCCGTTCCCTCCGGGCCGGTGGACGCCCGCCAAGGCAGCTCGGTGACACCTCCCGGAGCGCGGCAGCAGCGGGGGCGGGAGCCGCAGGAGGCCCCGCCGGCCCGAGAGGGGGAGCTGCCCGCCCCGGCTCCGCCGCCGCCCGCCCCGGCCCCGCCGCCGCCTTCACCCCTCAGGCCGGGGTTCCTTCCTCACCCTCGTGGTGTTCTCCTTCCCCGGTGCCGGGTCCCCCTGCCGCTCCTTCCCGCCCTTCCCATTCGCTCCCGCCTTCTCTTTCACGCTCCGGCCCGGCAGCCCGCGCAGGGACCCGGCCCCTCTCTTGCTGGCTTCCCCCATGTCGCCTGCCTTGATGGAGTCAAAACTCTTCCTCCCCGCCCCCTAGTTTCTTGGCATCGTCTGGTCTTGTGTGATTAGTTTGGATCCCAGGAGGAAACCGATGGCCTTCTCAGTGGGACAATTAGAGTCCAGCAAGACCCCCGCTGGCAGAGGCAGAGCGGGGAAGCCACAGGGTGGCCAGATCTGGGACAGGTAACAGCAGGGAGGGGACAGCCAGAGAGGGAGAGAGAGCTACTTAACAGGAGCTGTGACCTGTGGCCAGGGGACACAGCCAGCCCTTGATGACCCAGCACAGAGAGCCAGCGAGGAGGCTGGGCGCCGTGGCTCTGTAATCCCAGCACTTTGGGAGGCCGAGGCGGGCGGATCTCCTGAGCTAAGGAGTTCGAGACTACCCTGAGCAAGATGCCGAAACCCCGTCTCTACTAAGATACAAAAAATTAGCCAGGTGTGGTGGCGAGCGCCTGTAGTCCCAGCTCCTTAGGAGGCTGAGGCAGGAGAATCGCTTGAGCTCTGGGGGCGGAGGTTCCACTGAGCTGAGATCAAGCCACTGCACTCCAGCTTGGGCTACAGAGTGAGACTCCAACCCAAAAAAAAAAAAAAGAAAAGAAGAAGAGAACCAGGGAAGAAACCACCCCTGCCCCCAGCAACTGTCAACCTTCTTGCCTTCTGCCTATGTGCGGATGGTGGAACCTTCCAGAGCAGCGCCAAGCCAGAAGGAAGCAGGCTACAGAGCTTAGCCTCCTCCAGCTCCAGGGCAGGGACAAGTGGCCCTGAGTGGAAGATAGGGACACACCACCTGCAGGTCTCTTCTTTCCCTTTGGCTTTTTGGCTTTTTCCTCTGCACTTGCCTGGCCTCTAGGTGCCTGGTGGACCTGGGGTGGGGGAAGAGGGTGAGCAGCTCATACGAGGGGTCCCCGAGCCTATGAGAGAAATTGCGCCCAGCAGGGGGTGGTCCAAGAAGCTGTTTCCCAGGGAGGAAGCACACCAGTCCATCCCCATGAAAACCAGGGCCCACAGAAGTGGGGGGAAATTGCAGGAGATGGAGAGAAGGTGTAAGTGTCATACCGGAAGGTTTTGACAAGATAGATCTTGCCAATTAAGCAAAACTCAATTCAGTCCATCTGGAGGGGCTAGATGCAGAACCATGCCCAAGTCTCTAGGTAGTCAGTCCCTGGCACCTGTCGTTCTGCTCCTGTAGGCTTCACTTTTGGGCCCAGACCGGCAGGGCAGCCTCTGTTGGCACAGGGAGGGCCTCGGGGAAGCATGCACCTGCTCTTCCATGCTCGCCAGGCAACGCCCCAGTGTCCCTACCCACAGTTCATCAGCTACAGTTGCTAAGGAGGCACCCCTGAGCTGAACAGGTGGGATGGACGATTATCCTTCCATGAGACTCGAGGCACGTGTCCCCACATTCCAACATGTCCTACAACACGGATGACCCTTGAGGACATTATGCTAAGTGAAATAAACTCGTCACAAAGGATAGACACTGTCCAATTCCACTTACATGAGGTTCCTAGAGGAGGTGAATTTATAGAGAAGCCAGTACAATGGTGGGCGCCAGGAGCTGGGGAGAAGAGGACAGGGGTTATTTACAGGTTCAGTTTGGAAGATGGAAGCATTCTGGAGATGGCGGCGGAGATGTTTGCACAACAGTGTGAGTGTGCTTGTTACTCCTGAGGTGACACTGGAAATAGTGAAGATACAGCCATTATGGAAAACAGTATGGAGTTTCCACAAAAAATCAAAACTCGAACTACCATGTGATCCAGCAGTCCCACTGCTGGGTATGCCTCGGAAGGAAATGAAATCAGTGTGTCCAAGAGGTTCACTTTGGCACTACTCACAATAGCCAGTGTATGGACCCCACCTAAGTGCTCATCGATGGATTTGTAGATAAAAAAAACATGCTATTTATACCTGAATGCTATGGAGCCTCTAAAAAGGAGGAAATGTGCCGTTGCAACAACAGAGACAAACCTGGAGGACATTATATTAAGTGAAATAAGCCAGGCACAGAAAGACACATATCACATGGTCTGACTTACGTGTGGAATCTAAAAACATGCAAGTCACAGAAACAGAGAGTAGCATGCTGGTTAAAGAGGCTGTGGGTGGGTAGGAACTGGGGAGACGTTGGTGAAAGGGCACAAAGAAGTTTCAGCTGTGCAGGATGAATAAGTCCAGATCTGCTGTATACCGTGATGGCTGGAGTCAATACACTTGAAAGTCGCTAAGAGTACATTTTAAATGTACTTATCACAAAAAACTGTACTTGAATGACGGACACATTAGCTTAATTTAGTCATTCTGAACTGTAAACATGTCAAAACATCAGGTTGTACAATTTTTCATTTGTTAATTTAAAATAATAAAAATATACTATGGGATTTGCGCTAATTAAAAAATTAAAATCTTAGGCCAGGTGAGGTGGCTCATGCCTGTATTCCCAGCTCTTTGGAAGGCTGAGGCAGGCGGCTCACTTAAGTTCAGGAGTTGGAGACCAGCCTGGGCAACACAGGGAAACCCTGTCTCTACCAAAAACACAAAAAATTAGCCAGGCACGTTGTGCGTGCCTGGGGTCCCAGCTACTCGGGAGACTGAGGGAGGAGGACCGCTTGAGCCCAGGAAGCAGAGGTTGCAATGAGCCGAGGTCACACCACTGCACTCCAGCCTGGGCAACAGAATGAGATCCTGTCTCAAAAACAAAAAATGTAATGGTTAACTTGGTAAATTTTATGTTATGTAAGAAAACATGTAGAACACTGTTCTCTGAGGGGACCACACCTTACCTGGGGACCTGGTGGGAGCTGTCCTCAGCAAGTGGAGGCTGACAGTAGGAGGTGGGACCTGGGACTGGGTCCCTCGCACAGCAGGGCCACAGGATCCTGATGGCAGAAGCGAGTGGATGTACTTCCTGGGCAGGGAAAGGCAGGCAGAATGGGCAGCTAGGCCAGAGCCAGCCCGCTCCAGGGGCTACACCGATGGGGCTCACAGGGGCAAGGAGATAGCAGCTCATTTAGGATTGACAGCATCCATCATTAGACAAGGAGAGCTGGGAGCTGGGGCCGCTGGGGCCCCGGGCAAGCCACATGCCTCAGGCAGTCTCCAGGTGGAAGTCAGTGCAACGGCCCAGAGCCCCTTCACCAGGATGCAGATCCCTTTTCGGAAGGCCCTGGAATGCCCCTAAGAAGTGTTTCCCTAGCCCTCCCCTGGGCCTGTGGCAACTTGCCAGGGTCCACAGGTCCCAGAAAGGAGGGACACCCAGACTTTTGGGAAATTGCTTGTGACAGGGTCTGAGCTGACCTGGGCACCAGGATAACCCAAATCCATCTGTCCTGAGAGAGCTGGGGCTTATCGGAGCTTGACCAGGTCCCCCTCGAGGGGCACCCGTGGGCCTGCAGGTCTCCCGTGGGTATTTCCCTGGCCCCAAAGTTGGAGGAGGGGAGCTGTGCCTCAGGAGCTGCACCAGGAAGCCAGGCCTGGAGGGGAGTGCTGGTGGCCAGGCATCCAGATGGCCTCTGCGGCCCACACCCTTCCTGCCCAGCAGGGATGCTGCTGGCACCCATGAGGCCCCCTTGTTAGCTGCCCCCTCTTCTGTCAGGGCCCAGCTTCTTGTTACAACCTCTGTGGAGCCGGCACCATCCCTACCCCAGCCCCAGCCCTCCCACGCACCCAACAGACCCCACACACCCACCAGGCCCATCACTTTTAGGGGGTCTGTGCATACTCCCCAGGTGGCTGTAATTTCTTTGCCATCAAATCCTTGTGTGTGCTCAGAGCAAGGAACACTCAAGGCTTCAGGAGCTCAAGGCCAGCAGGTGTGGGCCCATGGTGTCTCTAGGCAGCTTGGCCATGAGATGGGGAGGAGCCAGAGGGACTCTGCCGCTCATGCTGGGAACCAGGGCGGGGACAGAGTGGAGGGGCTGGGGCTGCCCCCGAACAGAGCTAAGGGGACAGGTTTGTGTGGGGCCCAGCGAGTTTGGAGATGTGGGAGCTAAGGGCCCCCACCCAGGCCTCGCCGGACAGATGAGCCTGCCAGCCCCTTGCCCGTGC